TAAGAAGGTGGAATGGAGCAATAATAGCCTGAGGGGAAAAAAACAAAACAAATCAATAACGGCATTATCCTTGCCCTACACAACAATTAGTATCGTATATTTGGTCCGGAGTGAAGAATGTTCCAAGGACTTTCTTCATTACCTCTCCTGTTTCTTTTTTGAACTTGTCTCCAGTAAGCGGACGCCGTGGAAGTAGCTCAATCCTGCATCTCATTTACTAAAGTTTATCCTAATAACATGAAAAGCACATAGTATGGCAAGTAATTATTAGGCACATAATGAGCATAACTAGCACATAAGTGGTGCAATGACAACAAACAACTAAACAACAAGCAATTAGATACAACAGGAATAAGCAACAGGTAAGGAACAACTACCTGTTGCTTATTCCTGTCCAACTTGTGCAGGATGTTGGAGATGTTTCCCGGTAGGACAAGGCGTCGCGTGGAGAGAGATCCAAGTGGCCGGGCCTCGGCAAGCAGTCGACTCCTTGAGCTTCTCTTGCGATGCTTTGCCACGCCCTGGAAAGAAAGGATGAGTCATGGCACAACATGGCGCCGCGCCTGTAACGGCGCGGCTTACACTGACTGCACTGATGGTTATTGTGGCGCTGCTTCGATGAGGTGGGGCATTTACGCTGAACCCCAAGGCATTCGGAACTTCAAAAAAGGAATTGGTCCTTATAACCTAGAAGGGGTATTCATTGAGCTTCTTGTACAAAGCTAGGATTCGTGCAACCAAGGTCGTTACTTTTGGCGCAAGCCTAGAGGGGAGGCGCTTCGGGATTGTTTAAACAACACTACTTCGGTGAACGTACTCCTGTTTAGATGAAGTTGTTCCTAGTGTTGCTCACGTAGTTTTTGTAATGCCCTTACCCCAGGTTATCAGCCTCGGAATTGGTTCAACCGTAACTAGAGTTCCCTTTAGTCTTGAGCGAATAGCGGATTCTCTACCTCTTCCCTCGACAGCTCATAATCGCTTTCTGTTGTACAGAAATATACTACAGCTTACGAGCTACGCAACCGCATGTCTGTGTGTTAATAGAGCGCAAGTAAGTTGTGAAATAAATCTTCGGTAATGTGGAATAAGTACCGTACATTACTAAAACGGCGCTATTATGCTTTCAAAGTTAGCGCTATTGTTAGTAGATGTTCAAAGGGTTTTCTCATGAGTGTAGGTTGAACGTTGTTTCACCTTCACTGCACGGATTTGTAAAAGGAGGGCTACGCACTATGCTTAGAAACGGTAGGGAGGTGATTATTAAGCATTTAGACCCATTTGCTAACCGTTATTCTAAAATAGCAGTTACGTTAACGCTGTACCAATGTCTGCGGTTCTTTCCGCCTGACAGTGTTGAGATGAACTTCCATCGGCGATTAGCCACTTTTCTCGCGCTCCGCTGAATCGTGCGCTTCGCATCACTCAGCTGACGCTACGCGACCGCACGCTCGAGTGGATTGAGCGCAGCGAGTTGGCCGTCTGGTCGCCAAACAACACAATTACCTGCAACCAGTCTCGCCTCTTTGCTTACTTTATGGGCTTGCATTGCATTTGAAGTGGATTCAAAAATGTTTTTCTGTGAACTCTCGGGAGGGCGTTGTGATGACCGTCGGTCAAACGTGACCGCGTCGCAGCCGCAGTGCCGTGTTGTTGCGATTATGTACGCTGTTACGGCTGCTAGGTTTGAGTCAATTACATTGTGGTTGGATTCCTTTTGCCCAAGGTTGTTCCAGTTAGCACCAGTGTGGTTGCCAGAAGAATCCGTCGAGAAACTTAGTGTCAAGCTTATTTCGATAGCAAGCTTACAAATTGCGGGAAGAGGGGGAGGACCTAACTTGCCAAAAAGCGACAGGAAGCCCTGGCCTTGATCTCAGTTAGCCTTTTTTTCTTAACAAAATTGTGTAGTCTTCGTGAATATCTGATTCGCATTATTCGCATATATCTTCGCATTTCATAGATTCGATTCAAGGGCAGTAGAAATTTCTTCTCGATGTTCGCGCTGGCCAACTGCTCTTGCTCAGGGTGGTGGCCATCAGTAACTTTATTAAAACCTTTACCTTTCAGGTGCCACCGATTCGACGTGTGCTATGTTTCTCGATATGCAAATACGAATATGTATTCTCTACGAGTTCAAGCTCAAACGCCATGTGCCGATAGCTTTTGAGAATCTTAGGCGAGCATTTGGTGAAGGAGCAATCTCCCGAGAATCCGTTTATCGATGGTATCATCGATTCAGAGAAGGAAAGGAAACCCTCGAAGATGAACGAGGACCCTTTTCTATCATCAATGATGACGAGCTCAAAAAATTCGTCGAAGAAAATCCTACTGTGTCGCTGAGGGAATTAGCAAAGCACTTCGGTGTAGGAAGAACAGCAATTAGATATCATCTGGATAAAATCGCTAATGGCAAACGAGTTCGATACTGCGCAAAGAGGGCAGCATTTGCGAGGAAGTGGAAACAGGTGGGGATGTCTCTCTTTTCTTGCTTTCTTTTCCACATCTGTTGAACAAAGCGTGCTGTGCGTAGCGGATCCCCCGCCAGGGGGTCGTGTGGTGGATGAGGGAAGGAGGATCGTATTTTTGAAGTTGGGGAAATTCAAGATGAGAAGATGGTGGTCTAGGATGGGGAAGGGAGGGTCGCACCACAGGAGAAAGTTTGACTGCGTTCAGACTTCGCGATCGTGCGGACGGATCGCGCGACCATGGCCGGAGCCGCTCCACCGCCAAACGGTGCGACGCAAGGGCAAAACTCGAATCGGGTCGCGTTCACACAATGCAAATTTGAAATCTGCCTTTGCGGCTTTGCAGCGTTTGGAGGTGAATTTCGATCGCGCGGTCCAATCGAGCGATGCGATCCCGCGAATTCTGAACGCGGTCTTTCGAAGGCGGTGGTCGTATTTTGCTGAATTTTCCCCAGCGGCACATGGCTGATTTCAAGCTACGATTGATAAAGCAGGTTACACGGCACGGTCCTCGTTAGAAAATGGTGAGCTGTGCTGCTCATATACTAATGACAAGATGCTAAAAAAAGCCAAAAGTAAGTAAAAAAAAACAGATGCCCCATTCCGAAATGCCACACAGAGAACTCTATACTGAGCGGCGCTATTATATGTGTCTAAAGCGAGGAGAGGGCGTGCTCGGACGAGTTTTCACACTTCGGTGTCACCTCTCTCTTAATCACCTCTTTCTCATCATTCGGAGCAAAAAGAGCTAGTTGCGGAACAAATGCGCAACCAGGAATCCCT